AGAGAGAGAGAGAGAGAATTTAAGAAGACTTTCTTTCTCTGTCTTACGCCATCGTAAAAGAAAAGAATCGTGCCTGCGCCTCCTTTGTCACGGTGGTGAGACAGAGTAAGAAAGTCTTCTTAAATCTCTCTCTCTCTCTCTCTCTCTCTCTCTCTCTCTTCACAAGCTTCAGCTTATTCAATGGAGCGCTCAGTCTATATTTGTTATGTCTATCCCAGTGAGAAACGATCGACATCGACACCGTCGAATTGACGTCGTTCGACATCATTTCGACGTCGATCGACGAATCATTTCTCACTGGGACGCTGCAAACTCAGAGCGGGACGGTGTACGCGGAAAATCGCGGAACGTTCGTGATTGGTCGAGGCTTTCGGTCCGCGATTTTCTGCGGACCGAGGACCGAGAGCCTCGACCAATCACGAGCGTTCCGCGATTTTCTGCGTACACCGTTCCGCTCTATGAGTTCGCACCCTCGGGTCAGAGGACGTGCGTCGCACTGCCGTACGGACGGCACGGAAATTTGCGCGTACGCGTCCTCGGCGTCGTTTTCGTTTCACGGAGTGCGGAATACGCGGAAGCGGAATCAACGGCTCGACAGTCACAAGATCGTTTTCCGATAGAGACCTTCGGAAAATTCCGTTGAAACGGTCGTGTGACGTCGCCGTGACTCGCGCGGATCGCCGCTCGTTTTTCGCAGTTTTTTGTGTGTTTGTCTCGAGCCGCCGCGGCCGCTGCGCACCAAGGTCAGGGAACGACGGTACCGTGTGTCGTCGCACTGTCGCTCGAACCGCCGCGCCGGCACGTACGCCACGGAGCGACGCGCGCGACCAAGTTTTTCCGATTCCGCAGGTGTCGCGGGACTCGCGGGACGTCGTCGTCTTCGTTTCTCGGTGCGTGTACTTGGTTCGAGATACGGAAAAACGTTAAAAAGCCGCGTGTTTGTCGCGAGTGTCCACCAACAGACGTGCGGACTTAAATGCGCGTTCATTTGAGGTCCGTACATGCATCGCGCGAGCGATGTCAAAGTGATATTCCAGTCGCGTCGCTGACTCGACGCGCGTAGTATCGCACGGCGGCGCGGGGGCCGACGGGAACGGCGCCATGTTGGTTAGTTCGAGAAGCATCGCGCAGTGTCGCGGACGCGCGGCGGACCGGTCTCTCGCGCCGACGGACGTCGCCAGGAGCCTCTCTTCACGACGGCGGTGAGTCTCTAACGCCGATCAAGTCGAGCAATCGCGGCGTGGGTCGATCGTCACGATACTCGCGCGCCGGCGAACCGCCGAGACGCCTGAATCTCGCGAGACGTTCCGGAATGCTCGGCGCAGTCGGATCCTCGCGACGCCGCGGGTACACCGAGCTTCGGCTTCATCTCGCGTTCTCTCTCCGCGCGCGCGTAGAAATACCCGAGTTTTTCCGCGCGTGACACGCGGCGAGAGGAGTGCTCGCGCGAGCTCGCCCCGTTGGACGCTCGCGTTCGGCCGCGAGACGCGTCAAGCTTCGCCGTAACTCGCGAGTCCTCGCCGTGACGTTCCCGCCGTTTCGCGCGACGCCATCGTGGCGGGTGACGTATTGCCCGCGCGCGATCGTCCCCTTTTCTCGCGCGTCGGTCAACGCCGGGAGTGCAGTGTCGCGCGTTACTTGGACATTAACGAGCTCCTCTTTCGCGAGTGCTGTGTCGTGCCGACTACCGGATTTGCCGCTGCGAAATGGAGGAATCTGAGAGGAAGCTGCGGCCTGGGAGGCATCGGGCGACGACGGAGCGACGCTGAGTGAGTAAAATGATTTTTATTCTTGCGCCAACTTCATCCCGCAGATTGCTTTAATACGCCTTTACGCCTATTCGACGTAAGTCGTATACAATAGCCTTTCAAGGCTTAAGTCTACGTTTACGACTACGTCTACGACTGAGACAGTCTTACTTAAACGTTTACGGATTGTTCTCTGCCATCAGCCTTTCCGTGTATACATACATACAGGATGAATCATTATGGTTGCACCAAAAATGCAATATTTAATTTTATCTCGAGATACAATTGGGTATTACATGATTGAGACGTATACGTATAACGAGATTTCTTCATTTATCCCGGGTTGACTACAGTGGCCGTCGGTAATTCGACTCGTACGGTAAAAGGTTGGTGCAACCATTCTGATATTTCTGATTTGAATGATTTCTGATTTGAACCGAAACACGCGAACAAACTTAAGCAGGAAAACGTAAGGCTTAAGAATTTCAACGAATTGGAATTTTCAGCAAATTGACTCCATGTGAGTCGCGGGTGACTAGTAATTGCTTAATTCCACACATTTAAACGCTAGAATAAATTGGACACACAAGTCGCGATTCCGTAAGGGACAAGAAAAAAATTTCGGAGCGATCGCTACGAGACGAGTAGAAAAAAATGTCTCGTCGAAACGTTAGATTGTATTGATTGAGAAAATTTACATCGGGACGCAGTTACGAGTTGTTGAAATTTAACACAAAAACAGCAAAATGATAATTCTAGTAGAGAGCGAACGGACATAATAATTCTCAGATTCGTCGTGTTCTATCGTTACTTCTAAAAATTATTACTCGACAATGTCCCAGACTTGAGTCGAAAAATATAAAGAAAGAGCGCAGCTTTCTTTAACGACGTTTGCAACGTCGTCTTCCTTCCCGCCTTTAGCCTCGTAACCTGCTCGAACTCGATCCCCTTTCGTTCAACGATCGCCCTCGAATCCACAAGCAATTTTCTCGGAAGCGGGTACTGGCATAATTCGCGCACTTCGCGTGCACGTTCCATCGACTTGGCCAATTCGCGATAGGGAAAATTCCCAGAGACCACTGCGCGCTCTACGTATTGTCCGCATTCAATCGAGACGACTTCGAGAGCTCGTATTCTATTTCGAAATTCGTTCTGCCGTTCTTTCCCCGCCCGCGGGGTTCGTCTCACAGCGGATATAATTTACCCTTCTGGGCCACCTGATAAGCCCGACGCGGTAGTCATCCTAATGCAAATCTGACACGCGCGACGCGACTACGGGATTGCCGTCAAGACTTCCAGCAGCCGCTCCTTGAACGAGAAAATCTTTCCGATCCCGCGTCGTGCTCGCACAGCTTCGCCCCGGAACTTCGCAAGCGGTTTATCTCCGCGCGCAATTTCTCGAGATCAAACTCATAACCATAGAATTAAAACAATAGGCTGCGCGTTCCATTAGAGGAGCCGACGTCGACGTTAGAAAAAGAAAGCAATTTTTCATCGGATATGCAATTTAATTGCATATATTCGTTTGTTATTATGTAATTGGATTATCCGATTATATTTAATCGGACATTTTTCTCGGTGTAGGACACATCAAAATAAAATCAATAATTCTTATTCTGCTCTGTCGAATTAAAAAAGATTGACTTACTATATTGAGACAAGAGTAACTTTATATATTCTTGCGTTCTCTCTAAATATTTTGGAGTGAAAATAGTACCACGGGGTGAAATATTCGCTCTATTGGAGTAAATATTCATTCTAATAGAGTAAAGATTTGCTCCAATAGAGCGAACATTTCACTCCATGGTTCTATTTTCACTCCAAAAACTTTAGAGGGTTTAGAATAAAATTTTCCCCCATCTTACAACGCAGAAGTTGGCAGTGTTGGCACCGCGATATTCGACAAAAGACGATACGTACCATCGGAGGGGGAGGAAAGATTTGTCATTAACGCGACTCGTCCACGAGACGAGCGTCGGACCGCTTTGATCTTGCGGCAACGAGATCGAGGGTGGAGGATGAAAATTTTCGGCGATTGATAAAGACGCCGAGGCTTTTCTGCTCCGGCGAAAGTCGCGGATCGATTGACGCATGAGCGTTTTAGGTGGCGTCGCGACGCCGCTAGCGTCGTCGTCGTCGTCTCGCCTACGCGTCCCCCCTTCCCCGCCGGTATAATTCACGAACATCCCCACGATTTTCCTTTTTCTTTCCCGCCCCCGTGGGGTAGATTGGAAGGACTTGCGCGGCCCGCGGAGAGGGGCGGGAGGGCGAGCGTGGCGAAGGGAAAGGAAAAAAAAGACGGAGAAGGAGGGAGCGTGGAAACGGAGCGATAAGGGGATGAAAGGGCGAAGAGCGAGACTCGAGAGAGACAAAAGGGCAGAGCGGAGAGAGCGCGATCGGTGAGAAAGAGAGGGTGATAATAATAAAGGGACCGGTGGTAGAAGAGATAAGGGACACGGGGGATCGAGAAGGGCAGGGAGAAACAGAGTCGGATGAATAAGCAGTGATGCAAACGCGAGTCTCGGAAGGGCCCTCTCTCGCATCTTAAATTAATTGCACGCGCACGCGAAAAATTAATGAGGCGAAACGCGAGTTGCGAGAAAAAAAAGCAGACGGTCGATTAAATCGTAAATAATTAAATTGACGACGATGCCCGAAGCCGCATTGCCTTAGTTTTCGTCTCTTCGGGAGAAGAATTTTTTTAATTAGAAAAAAGCGATATTACCCGAGTCGAAATTTTGATACTGTTTCGACACTTTCAAGAATAATGCAATAACCCATTTTGATGACATTGTATATTTTTTACTCCTCCCTTGAAACTTTAATTCTGAAAATTTACTTTATCTCCTACTTAAAAGGACCCACTTTAATGCTAAATTGGCAAAAGTAGAAATTTCCGACACTAACGGTTTTAAAGTAGGAGTGAATTTTGTACTTGCAGTTCGACCTCTTTTACTGTCTTAGGTCCTACTATACAGGGTGTACTAAAACCACCGGATATCCTTTTATCACTCGTCATGTCGCCGTGTCTGAGCGCGCGAAATCTCAGGCCTGCCATTTGTGAAATATAATCGCTTATTATTTAAAAATTGTTATAGCCTCGACATTTTTGTATTAGAATTTTCCTCTTGAAATTTTCTAACGAATCTGTGATTAAAAGGTCCGTCCGGTGGTTTTAGTACAGCCTGCATAATAGAATTAAAGGCTCAACACAAGGCCAAAATTTCGACTCGGGTATTTTCCCCGGTTTTCAGTTACATTTCATTCAACTTAAATTCCCAGTGCTTTTAAGCAAAGGAGAGAAGAATGAGAAAGCTAGGAATATCGCGACGAGTATCGACCCGAGTTTTTCCCCCGTCAGAGATCGGAAGAAGCGCGCAAACGTCGGCGTTTTCGCGATTAGAGTCGGAGTTCAATTTATCGCGTGTTAGAAAATGATATCAGAAATCGTCATCGAGACGGTGCGAGTCGTCGTCGTCGTCGTCGCGACAACGCCACGTCGTACCCTTGACAGTGGCAATTTTCATCGACACTGGCGCCGGGCCGCCTTTCCGCGCGCCACCCCGTGCATTTACGCGTGCGCGGTGCGAGCGTAACGATCCCGCGATACGCGCGCGCGAGAGAAGGCGAGACGGAGGCGAGGGCGCGAGCGAGAGGGCGCGTCGAGAGCGTCTCGCTCGCCCCCGAGGGGTGTCGCGGGCGAGGGGGCAACAGATGTCCCTCCGTATGACGCACGCGGGGTGGCCGTCCCTTGCCGAGAGGGTAGTCTCGCGTCTGGCCCGGTGGTGTCTGCGCGCGTCACGTCACGTCACGCCGCGGAGCGGAAGCGGAGAGCGCGCGGCTGCGTCCCCGCGAGGACTCGAGTGAAGCGGGTTGAAGGACCTCGTCGCGGACGGGAAGGTAAGTCGTATCTCTCCTCCGCGCGCGCGTCCACCCCCGACTCGCGGACGCGCGTCAACGATATGATAAACGCGGGGCGTCGCGCGCGGTCGCGTCCCTCGTCTCTCGGTAAGCGCCGGCCGGGAGTTCCCACGCGCCGCGAGACGGGTGCGATCGGAGAGAATATCGGGTGCCCGCCCCAGGACGGCGTGCGGCTCTCGCTTTATTATCGCCGGACGACTCGGCGCTACGCGAGCGTCCTTCGTTTTCGAACGGGGGGGCCGAACCAAGGGCGCCGCGCGTCCAGATTAACGTGTCGACGTGTCGTCGTGGCGATGCGTGGAGAGCGGCAGTAAAACGAAGTCGCGATAACTCCGAGATAATTGAAAACTGTCTCAATAGGCAGTGCCACGCGATAGATCTCGATGGTAACGCGCGGCCGCAACTTTGCGAGATCTATTTTAGAATGCCCTCTCGGCGGTGCGCGAAAGGCCCCCCTCGTTGATCCGTGACAATTATCGGGAAATTCTCTTTCAGCCGCCCGTCCGGTGAAATGTACGCGTGAAATGCCGCTGGACGTCGGCCGCGCGGCTCCCCCCCGGCGAAGCGGATTCTCTGGTTAGCGCGTGATGTGCGAGGTATCCAAGGGCCAGCGTAGGACGTTCCGCGACCAGGACCCGCCGCGAATATGCAACAAGAGCGCGGAGAACCTGCTGCGGGACGAGCTCGAGTTCTCGCGCTCGACCCCGAGCTCGCCGACGAGCCTCCAGCGCGCCGTCAGCCTCGAGAAGTGCTTCAGCGAGCCCGAGTTCTTCCAGAAGCAGCGCGAGCTGCTCTCCAAGCACGAGCAGCGGACGAAGGAGAAGGACGGCGACGGCGACGGCGACGGGAGCGTCACCCCCGGGTCCGCGCGCGGCGCGGACGACGACTCCGGGTGCGCGGCGGACGTCGCGAGCACCGAGGACCTCCCGAGGGAACTCTCCGCCAAAGTGCCTTCCCCTTGCGAGCAGGCGAGCGAGGTACGAGGAGACGATTCGTGGCCGGACCCGAGCCTCTCCCGGAAGACGAATCGGTCGTCGTGATAAAAACTGGGGAGAAAATTGCGGCTGCGAGTCAATCTTGCCGCTCTGGTACTAAACTTG